GAAAAGTTTGCAAACGAGAGTCTGGCTTTTCGTGGAAGACGTGGAAAATCTAAAAAAAAAAAGAAGAAAAGAAAATTATGCGGAGACAAAGCTATTTTTTTTCTCGCACGAGTCGAGGAAAAGAAGGGAACGCACAACGCGTCACCCACCTATCCAGGCTTAGAATACGTAATTATCGAGGTACGCGTGACATTACAAGGCCAACGAAGCGTAGCCCGTCTATCGATACTTACTAGTTGCAACCCATTTTCAAGTTAGCTTCCTGACGTCAGCATCGATCGTGCATTGAAAAGCACGTTTCGGTTGGGACAGATGCGATCTTGGAAGACCTCCTGTCCCTGATTCTGCAATCTTGTTTTTTCTCTCTCTCTCTCTCTCTCTCTCTCTCTCCCTCCCCCGATGAAATTCATAGATTAGGTAACGTGTCTCTTTCGCTCCCTCCCCTCTCCACTCTGTTATCCAGACTTGTGTAACGGTATAATCGTCGATTTGAAACGATATGAAATCATCTTTAAACGGTCGTGGGTATAATACTCGCGTACGCAAGTGGGCGAACTATTATTATTCACGGTGTGCGTATATATATATATATATAAAATAATCGGTGATAATCGGTGCATATTGACCTTTCGATATAAGATAAGCGATCTTGTTTCTCGAAAGGTTCTCGTCAAGTTCGCGTAATAAGCGCGTGAAAAAGATCGGTCGGGGTTCCGATCGGTAGTAACATCGAGTGTGTTGGCAGTGTCAACGGTGAAACTAAAATGAAAACTAAAATGCGTTATCGAAACTGTGCGGCAACAGCGATATCCGCGCTGTTATCAAAGTTTCTCGCGATTGTGACAATGCGAAACGATAAAACGGTTGTGGGGGGGCTGGTGGCGGCGGATGCATGCTCCGATTCGAGAGACCCGTTTCATGCCCGTATTACATCGATCTTTTTCCATGCCGCGCGTGTAGAACACGAAGGGAAACAACACAACACCGCACGCTATGTATTAACGACAAAAGTTATCGCGTCGCGCGTCCAAACGATTTCTCTTCCTCTCTTGGAAGGGTCGGCCGGTAGTAACGCGTTCCGCCACGTCGAAAGTGCAATCACGCGCCGGTGATTGTTGTTCGACTATGAAAACAAGAAAAGGGGAGAAATAAAAAAAGAAAGACAATGAACGATGTCTTTTCCGTTTTATTTTATCTGCCGCGACACAATACGACACCGGGGCCGTAAAGTTGGTCGAGCTTTACCGGACTGCTTTCCAGAGAGAGAGAGAGAGAGAGACAGAGGCAGACGAACAGACAGAAAGAGAGAGAGAGAGAGCGTTTCACCGAGCGAAAAACATCGCGGTCGAAAAATTTCGATGGCGCGATCCTCGAAACGATCGATCGGTTTTCGCGCGGCGCGAAAGAAAGGCGCGTTTCGTGCGGTAAAATGTTAAAGTTACCATTCGAAGCACGCCGTTTTGAAAGTCAAACGAGCACGCTCGAAAGTTCGTTGAACCTCCTCGTCCCGGGCTAAACCCGTTTTCACGACCGCGTTGCGGAGGGATTTAGTAACGAATATCTCCTCGCTCTTAATGGTTCTTATATCACTGATTACGCCCCGTTGCGGGGCCGCTTTTGCCGTCGGTAATCGAACCACGGGCTTCTCGCCAATTCTCTTCCCATTCTCCTCCACTCTCCCCGCGCCTTTTCTTCCCAAACCTCCTCCTCCTTTCAACGCTCTTATCTCCTGCCCACCGCGATTTGATAAGCTACGTATCCGCGTCCCCTTCCCCCACTTTTTAAGAGGCAATCGCGCTCTTTGAAATACCTGTTATACGAATTTCCCCGAGCTCTCGCCCAAACCTTTAATCCATGCCGTTTCTCCACTTCCTCCACCCTATATATCGTGGTCGAGCGCGGTGCTCCTCGTGTACATTCGATTAGCAGCGAATACGAGAGTGGAAATGGATCGTGGGCGAACACGGGGATTGGTCGTGGGAGGCGGAAAACTCAGCCATTAAGGACGGGATAATGCCCGGAAGGAGGGTTTTCGAAAAATCTGGCAACGATTGTCACGGTCGACTCGTGCCAGATTCCTCTCTTCAGCGTGTGGATACTCGAGCGTGCAGAGAGAGAGAGAGAGTGAGAGAGAGGAGGAGGAATCAATAGGCCGGTATTGTAGCGCGGATTTGTAAGCCGCCGGCGGAAACCTTACGTATTCAACAGTGAGTCACACTTCCAGGAACGTATCCCAGCCCTCTTCTCTCACCTACAACAATGTTCTCGGCCATTGTTTCCCAACCCTTGCCCAAAATCAAACGGTCCCCCCCCTCGGTTCTCTGTGTGTCGAGCTTCAACCCCATTTTTTTTTCCCTTCAACCCCTTTTCAAACGCAATCACCGTGATTTCCATTTAGGCGTTCGTTTTCACCTCTTCCTCTAGTTCGAGGGCACTAATGACTTCTGCGGCTAATGGCTCCCGCTGCAACTTTCCATTCAAAATTGTGCCGCGCGAATCGAGTAGCCCCTCGACAACCGTTCTTTTCCGCGCTTCTCCTCTCATGGTGCGTCGATCACGCGTCAGACACACCATGACCCTGCCCCACACCACTCTCTCTCTCTCTCTCTTCTAATCTCTAGCGCACTTGTGAACACTTGTTGGAAAATGAAAAACTCGGGTGTTGAGCGAATCGAAACTTAATCGGCGGTGGGTAAGATAGAACAAGGGGCATCCCGGTTTCGAGTATCCATTGATTCGTATATCTCGCCGCATGGATCAGGTCGTCGGTAATATCATAGTATACGTAATGTTATCAAACAATTGATAGATGTATCGACCATAATATTATTATTATTATTATTATTATTACGATGAGAATTAGGACGATTGTTGCTCGAAAATTAGGATTAGAATTGCCAGAAGACAGTCGTCGAGGCGAAAGACAAACACAGGCCCCAGTCAATTCTTCGCTCTTGATGCTCCAAATGTGGTGGACGGTAAGGAAGTAGGTCAAAGTTGATCGAAACTGGGTCGAGATTTTTCAAATTTTTCTCCGTGTCCGGGAAAATTTTCTGTCGCGCCGTCGTCCTCCTATCGATCATACGTCCAATCGATATTTAATAACAACTTCGTTCGATTTATATTTGATGATAAACACGATCAAAGAATCGCGACGGAGTTGTTGTTCAGAATCACTTTTCTCTTCGGGTTTTGTGTTCATCTTTGCCACGACGAAATCGGACAAAAATTATTATTCCTTTTTTTTTTTTATCAAAATTGATCGAACTCTCTCGAAGGAAGGAACGATAATACAACGCGTAGATCGGAAGGGAGGGGTGTCCAAGGTTCGCGTATGGAACAATCAACGTAACCGTGGCCTTGGCTGCGAAGCTCGAGCTCGTCGCTTCCGGAAGAGGTTAATACCCGAAACGCATCGCTGACTCGGAGGGCTAGAGCGTGTCGTGAATGGTTCAAGTTTCTACGGAGCAACAACCTACACGGAACAATGCCTATTTATTTAGACACAGATCGTTGTGTTCGTTAAGGGAGTCCGGAGGGATAATTTTTATGGTCAAAGTTAATGATGGTACGGGAGGAAAAAAATGGTCGTAGGTGGTCGTCGCCCTTCCCTCTCTCTCCCTCTCCCTTCCCTTGCCGTAACGAGTAAAGCTAAGTATTATTACTCGACAAAAGATACCCGATGCATTCTTCTCTCCTCGGTTAAATGAAACGTTGAAACGCAAAATAACTATTCTCCCGTAATCCGTTTTACAATCCTTGCAATTAGCGTTGACGTAACGCGTTTAACGCGTTCCGCTCGAAACCTTTCTTCGTTGGAATTCGTTCTTATTCGATCTTTCCCCTCTATTCCGCCCTTCCACGGATTTTTCCACGTAGAAGAAACTTGTACGATGTTTGCCTGGTTCGGTCGGTGAAAGCCGCCTCGTCGGTGGAACACGAAGATTTTCGTAGCCGATAAAAGCCAATGGGAACCGGACTAGACGCGATTCTCTTTCTCTCTCAATCTCTCTCTCTCTCTCTCTGGTCCAACGAACCACGTCCCGCCACGGTCAAACCTCGTAGCGCGTTTGTCGGTCAATTAGAGCCGGAGTGAGTACACCGGCGAACATAGAGGCGAACGCTTGTCGGTGAACGTCCGCAGGGGGTCGTCGACCCAAGCCAACTAGGCTTTGGTCGTCTACGGCTTTAACGTTGCTTTTACACCGGCTATCTGTGCTCAACGTGGACGATCCATCCTCCCTCCCTCCCTCTCCCCTCTCCCGTCTTTCGACCTTGATCCGAAACTTTAAACCTGGCCGACCCCCGGCTCTCGATTCTCCCGACCCGGGAACAGGAACGTGTCGTCGGTCGTCGAGCCCCGGAGAAAACGATTACGTTACCATCGTGGGGAATTCGCGCGCGATCAGCTAGCGATTCGATCCGTGTGTGCGTGTGTGTCTCTCCCGACGGCTACTTTCCACGCTCCTCCGTAATGATCTCTGTCCAAACGATTGGAGTTTTGCCCACGGTTCCTCTCGCTGAAACGCTCGCCGGCCATTGTCGAATAAATTAAGACGATGGGGACGAGGCGAGATGACGTCATTTCGCAATGTTTCGCACGCCCGCCACGTACATACCGCCAAAAATTCCCAATCGTCCGTCTATCCGTCCATCTTTCCTATATCCGATCCCTTTCTTTTTCTCCCCGACCACAGTAGCTCGTTGATAATTGAAGCACGGTCTTAATGTCATCAGCAGCGAGTGGTATATTAATAATAATAACGCGCAGAAAACACGTGAAAAAATTATTATAATACTTCCTGTGCATCGAATCTAACGTGCCTATCTAACTGCTCTAGTAAGTAGACCTCGATCCGAATCGTTACGAAAGTAACGGAATTTTATGCGCGCGAGAAATTGTTGGAGGGGAGGAGGGGAAAAAAAAAAAAAAAAAAAAGAAACGATGCTGTCGATTCGTCGTCGATCGACGAGTGAATCTCGAACATCTTTTGTTACAGCAATTGTTCCGAAGTCAGCCGCAAGGAGCCACCCCGCAACAGTTACAGCTGCTGCAGCAACAGCAACAACAGCAGCAGCAGCAATACTTGNCGCCTCTCAGGCGCAGCAGCAGCAGCAACAGCAGCAGCAACAAAACTTTCCCACGGCACCGTACACCGTGATCAGTGGACAAGAACCGTATGTAGGAGCATTGATAGCCGGAGCACCACCTCCAGTTGTGCCACAGTATTATGGAGTCGCGCCATGGGTTTACCCGGCCGGATTGTTGCCTCAGGCACCTCCGCAAGCTGCCGCTCCACCACCACCTAGGAGACCGCTTACACCATCCTCGGCCGCAGCAGCGGCAGCTGTCGCTCAAGACACTGCAAATAATTTGGCCCAGAGTGTAAGCAAGTTAATTAGCTCGCTCTCCGAATGGATGCTGCAGCTACAGTCCGCTTAGAAATAAATTCCTATTGTCGCGGGAATTTATTTGAGTTTATTGCCGATCCACGTTTTACATTGTGCAAAGTTTCGCACACACCCGTAACGCACGTTTGAACACGTTTCTCGATTAAGATTGACCGTGGAGATTAAATATAAACTTCGAGCACCGATTCGCCAGCCTTATTAACATTCCAAAAGTTTTCTGTATCGTACGAGGAAGGTAGCATAGCGGTTATTTTATTCTTGGAATAAGAATCCTCCTTTATTACGATGAATCGAGTCGTAGCTGTGTAACGTAACTCTCTCTTTCTCTCTTCCTTTTTTTTTTGTATATTGCATGTTGACATTTTCGCGCACAGGTTCAAGGCCAGTATCAGGTAATACCAGCGTATTACGATCAAAATGGATCCATCGTGATGGGCGGGGTGCGGGGGTTAAGCTCAGCCGCGACCCCCATGAGATTAGTCAGTCCGGCGCCTGTTTTGGTAAACAGAGCCCCGTCACAACCACCACCTGGACCACCAGCTCCACCACCACCGAGTCTATATTCTCAACCAACTCCTACGTCCCACAGTAACGCAACACCCGGAGAATGTTTGGGTAAGAAACAATTGACAGTTGAGATTGTAATTAAATATTATACGAACCGGACAGTTCATCAATATTTGTAGATATGTGTTATCTTTTTTTTTTTTTCTTCGACGTATTGGTTTATTTTCCTACGTGATACATATATATATATATATATATAAATTTATATAATGTATAGTCTATTATATATATAGATATGCATGATACGTTAATTAAGCATCGATGAATTTTTGAAAGATAATTATACATACAGCTATATATATATATACATACATACTTTTACATATACATGTCTATACATATATATATACATATATATTTATATATTAAGGTCGAATAACTTTTCTGTTGTCTGTATATATACGTCTGTATACACGTCACGTTTATTACATTAACCTCGTGACTAAAAAAAGAAAAAAAAGAAAAAAATATGTTAGTACGAATTCGTTGTCGATAGCGGAAAGCGTGCGTGTGTATGTGTTGTGAACGGTGTTACCGCTAGGGTTATAGACGGTATAAGGTCGGTAAGGTAAAGGCAAATTAATTGATAACTAAGAGCGTGTGTGGGTTGCGGGCTTTTGGTGCAGGTCTGGCGGCGTGCAGTGCAGCAGCAGTGGTTGCACAGGCTCAAGCAGTCGCGGTGCAGCAGG